TGCCCGTTTCTTTCTTTTGTTGACATTTCTTGAAATTTAGAATGGCCCAACAACAACCAAGGTAATGTAACCACCTCCCAACACAGAATGCCAGTGATCCATGCAGTGAAAATTAAAATCCCCAGATTAACGAGGAGGTTAAATGCTGCTCAGGGTCAAAATAGTCCTCTAACTTAATTACAATCTTACACTGTAGCCTGGAGTCCTGGCCAGGTTAATAAGAGTTAACAGTAGTCACTATAGGAAACAGAATATTGGGTAAGAAAGTAAAAACAGTTTTATGGTCTTTGGGAAAGGAAGAGGAACAATGTATGACAGAAAAAGCTAAAGATGAACCATCGGGTATCTGGCCTGGTAAGCTAATTTGGGCCAGATCTGCCAACCTCTGTACCCACTGGCACGCATGGCAGCAATTTGGCTAGCGTCATACTCATCTCCCTTTGTTTCCCTAGCTAAATGGAGTAGCAGAAGTGACTTAATATATAAGTCCAAATCAAGAGTTGCTGGTATCTGCTGTTACAAAATAGTTCCCTATAACGATGTGCTTACTGCCAGGAAAGGAGAAAGGTATTTTCTCTGTTTTCACTCCACTTACTTTGGCATGTGGATTTGGACAGCATAGGGGTGGTAGCTCATGCACATGGAGGGACTGTGCCTGGTGAGAAGATGAGCGAGGAGTTGTAGATGGGTAGCAATTGCTGGCAAGGGGCCGTCTTGATAGAGACGTGAGGTGGTGAAGAGGTGTGAACCTGGTGGTGGGCAGGATGGGGCTGAGGCACTGTTTGTGGAGAAGTTGTGAAAGTGGAAATGGAAAGCACGAGGCTGGAGGCTGTCTTGAGGGATTTTGTGAAATCGGAAGTGCCTGAGGTGTGGTGAGGGACTGTGCTGAAAGATAGTACGAAGCAGCAGGTAATACTGTGGGGTGTGAAGTTGCGTTGAAACTGCTCATGACATCAGAAGCGGGCATTGTGTATTCAAAGCAGCACAAGCAGAGGTTGTGCAATTGTACCTGCTGAGGTGTGGTAAGGCTATGGAGTTTGGGTGGACCTTCCTTTGGGAAAGGCTGTGTGAAGCACTAGGGACTAAATAGGGTGATAACTTATGTTGGGAGGGGCTGTGGGTCAGAAGAGGACACTGTGGTGATGGGCCTGTTAAGGCCAGTTTGGCAGGGACAATAGGCCCTTGGGGAAGGAGAAGTGGTGCTGAGGGTTGTGAAATCATCAACAAGCATTATGGAAGAGGACTGACAATTTCTCAATCTGTGTGGCCCTGAGCAGCAGTAGGGCATCCTCTTCAAGGACTCTGAAACTAGAGCTTTTCAGTGACAGGAGTAGGAAACAAAACATCAGTGCAAGAGGCAAGGCGTAATTTTGTACATAGAGTTCTTACTTTCTTTGTATCGTGAGACTGGCTGAAGAAAGGAGAAGTAGTAAAAAAACATTTCCAGAGCCACAACAGCGACAGGTTCTGTACAAAGCGGGAAGGGGGAAGTGGTTCAAACCTGTGTGACCACACACAGCCAGCTAGCTGTTTCCCCAAGAGAGTGATTGGCTGGCTGTCGGATGTCACAGTGAAAAGACCGTGGCTTTTTAAACAGTGTCTAACTAGCCCAGCACCACAGCATGACACAAGGATTTTATCTGCACCATATGTCACAGAATTCAGGTGACAATTTTCCCCAGCAGATCCATACCAGACGGCTGCTGCAAATCAGTCACTGAAATTCCAAGGAACCCACAATAAGGTGAGAAATTCCTGGATGGTATCTTTGCCATTGCACTATGTCTAATGCTTTCTGTCATGCTTTTGGAGAGATGGTGAGGGGAAGGGAGGAGAAAAAAAAAACAACGGAGGAAAGGAGATCAAACATTTTCTTCTCCTGCTGGTTAGAAATTCATGATAGGTAAGAAATTGTGTTGATCATTTTCAAGATAAGGAGAGCTTTATTCTGGGGACACTTTTCCAGGAACAAGTGCTACTGAATTGCTCTAAATACACCTCTGTAATGTAAGATGTAATTATTCTGAGACTTAGCATTAGCAGTTTTGGTCTTAGATGATCACTTAAGATTAGCCAAGAAAATACAACAGTATAACTTTCTGTCCGTAGTCTAAAAAGTCTTTGTGGTGTCAAGGTTGTTCAGACTGACATCTGCCACAAGAACTACATGGTACTCAGCATGCAAATCACAGGGAGGATGTTTCATCTCAGGGGAGAAAAAGACCACCTAGTCTCAGTCTGCTGCTCTTTGATGCAAGCTTTCACTAATTAGTTTCATTAAGGAAGTAGACTCATGTCTTGAATGTGTCTTGGAAACAACAAGAAATCAGTCTTTCCAAGGTCATACAATAAATAAATGAGAACTGTGGGTGACATTTTTGGTATTTTTTCCACAGTCTACAAAAGTCAGAGGAGGATTTCTTCACTTCCATTGCAGCGGAAGGCAAAATTATTGATGTTTTGTCATTTATCCCCAGCGTGTCCATTACGACCACAGCTGTACCTGGCAGTCTTTATGCATGCATGACCAATGGCAGAGGGCCATGTCATTCAACATTAGGAAATATGCTTGACAAGCTTAAGTTAGACAGCTAATCACCTGGCATTGCCTGAATGCCCAGTGGAGAGAGACGAACTTCTGGAGGATGGGGTCAATTGCCTTTGGGAGATGACTGCAGCAGGGAGGCACAATAGCCACTTACCTAAAATGGGCACCTGGTCAGAAGGCTGGAGTGGGCTTAGACAGAGCTTAAGTGACACTCAAATGTTCATGTCCTCCTCTAATCAATAGGAAGTTTTCTTCGGGTTACACAGATAGCTTATGGCAGAGGACAGTGCTGCTTTGGGTCTTCTGAAGGCTAGGAAGCCAATCAGCCAAAGGGTCTTCCTTTCTCCTCACAGCAGACTTGCTTCACAGAATTAGAAGCTGCTTCGGCTGCTTTCTACTGTGAATCAAGGTCTGATAATTTGCTGCCACACCAAAAGCAGCTAGTGAGGAAGTAAACAAAGTCATAAGGCTTTCAATTTGCCTGCTACAGATGTTCAGGGAAGAGGGAGCCTCACTAGTGATGTTGGTCAGGCAGTATGCTGCTCTCCCCAGATAAGGAAAGAGAAGGTGAGCTTGAACTCAGGGATGTTCCTGTTGTGAAACTGTGCTACAACAGAGATTCTATGCATTCTGAAGGAGATGATGTTTTTTGTTTTCTGTAGTCCCTTTCAGTATGTACTAAAACTCTTTCTTTAGAGAACACTGGTATCCGAAGTCTTAATGTTAGAAGCACTCGAGGTCCCATAACAGCTGAAGATGGAACCGTCCAGCTTCCTATGAGTATGGTGCAGTGCCAGAAGCTCCCTGGTTTCAGTCAACCCTAAAGGTTTCACACCCTGCAAGCCCTGGTGAAGTTAAGGGTGGAATTCACCTCAGCTAACTTCAGCTGTCTGCACACCAACCCTCTCGCTGAAGCTGGCACTCTGCAAAGCATCTGCAGTCTGCAAAGACAGGCAGGTGACTGCACGCTTACCTACGACACCCATCTTAGGACAAAATACGTTACTGTTGGAGGTGCTCATAAACCTCCATTAATTCAAATGGCAGCTTTAAAGGCAACGTTAAATGAGATGTTTGCATTTTTAATGGTGAAAGCTAGGTGTGACAGTCCCAGCTGGATTCCCAGCCAAGCACTGCTGGCATACATGCCTTCCATGGACTAATGCAGCAAGATTGTCTCCACTGCCCCAGGCCATCAGCCGGGTGAGGAAATCACCTGTATCATGCATTTCTCTTGCCTCTGTCCATGTAGCACTGAAGACAGTGTGTCTGGGGTGCTGAGATGAAACGATAATTATTAAATCTCTCACATTCTGTGTGTTTATGGGAGTTTGTGTCCATGTATGCCACAGCATTTTATGAAGAGAGAACAGACTATTCATGCTGGTTAGACTGTTCAATGACTCACATCTTCCAAGCTCTCCCTGTTTTGACTGGTTCCTCTCTTTTTTTTTAACTGTCTCCTGCCATCTCTCATGACACTTCTCAAACTTCCCATGTCAAAATTAATAGCTGGTGGGGAGAGAGGAAAAAAGCCATGGTGTTCAACCTCGACAGACAAAAAAAAATGTATGAAATCTATTTTTTGACCTTTTTTTTTTTTCAAGATACTCATTCAGCTCCCAGTATCATGGGGTAAGAATTAGGGTGAGCTGCCTTAGGGAATGGAATGAAAGAACTATTTGAGCCATAATTTCAGTGCCCTGTGAGGGTCATACATTTTGTCCCACATATGTTTCTTGCAGTTCCTCTCTGAGAAGGAAGTCAGTAAGCGCTGAGTCTGTCAGACTGAATTGTTCGTTGTCCGTACGTAGGGGTCAGGAGAAAAAACCACCCACATTAAATTACACTTTATGAAAGCAGAAATCAGTCATCAACATAAAAACCTACCAGCTATTTTGAGTACTCTCTATCATGTATGCTGGGCAGATGCATAGGACAAAACTCCCATCAGCTTTCATGCTGATTAAACTGGTATGCTAATTGCCTAGAACTTGCACACACTTTTGACAAGATTTGTCTTACCTAATACTAGCTACATGAAGCAAAGACAATCATCCCAGAGTTGTTAACACTGGGCTCTCTTTTTATTCAGACAAGAGGTACTTTGCAGACACGATTAATCCAAGATATAATTGCTTTAAGATATTTGTTTCCCAATACTGACTGCAAAAAGGGCCCTCAAGAAATAAATTTTTAAAAGGGAGAAATTTACTGCAATCTAACTTTTCCTAGATGTCATACAGAATTTGCTCTTAGATACATTACTTCGAACAATGCCTCAAAGCTCTGAGCTCCAAGTCAGAACACAGCAATCCCTCACTAAATCAAGCTCTGGCTACAAAGGGCTGGAACAAATTCAGAAACACCACCAGGTCACCATGAAGGAAAGTCCCACTAGAGTTACCACCACTCTCCTTTCTGTTTACAGGTCTGTCTGAAATCCCTCATTATGAGTACTTCAGCTACATCAATCTTCCTTCCGACTGCTACCATCCAGGTTCCTGGGACTAATCAGAGCGGGACTGAGGGAAAGACAGAAGCATCCTATGCTGTCCTCAAGTTCATGGAGAGCTTCTGCCTCATCAGCGCTGCCTTTGGGATGGTGGGAAATGGCATGGTCCTGTGGTACCTTGGCTTCCGCATTCGGAGAAACCACTTCACTGTCTACATCCTGAACCTGGCCGCTGCCGACTTTGGGTATCTCCTCTGCATCGCCATTGAGACAGTTCAGTACCTGATGCAGTTCAATGTAGGGGTGCAGTTTGGGATATTCCTCTTCCTGGATCTTTTCATGTATGGCACCGGCTTGTATCTTCTGACCACCATCAGCATTGAGAGGTGCCTCTCTGTCCTTTGTCCAATCTGGTGCCGAAGCCACCGCCCAAAGCACTTGTCCGCCATCATCTCTGGCCTGCTCTGGGGTCTCTCCCTGCTGCTGAACACGCTTGGGTACATTCTGTGCACCATTCGCCCCTCTGCCAGGAGCTGCCACCTCCTGCTCATCACCATCGGAGCCTTGGACTTCCTCTTCTGCACACCCCTCATGCTGCTCTTCAGCCTGACACTCTTCCTTAGAGTCAAGTGCAGCTCCCAGCACCTCCGAACAGGCAGACTCTTCACCGTCATCATGCTCACTGTCCTCTTCTTCCTCATTTTTGCTGTGCCTCTGAGTGTCCTGATCCTTTTTGACTTCTTGGGCTACAAATTTCTCTACTCCCCGGAGATCGGCTTTGTGCTGTCCTGTGTGAACAGCACTCTCAACCCCGTCATTTACTTCCTTGTGGGGAGCTACCGGGATCGCAGAATCAAGTTCACCCTCAGGCTGGCATTCCAGAGGGCCTTTGAAGATTCAGCAGATGACAAAGATGAACGGGAAACCCGTGACACAGTAACTATGTCCTCCTAATACCCTGCTGTGCCTAGCACAGTGACACTGGTCTGGAGCTGAGCGCAAATAGTTTACAGACCTGAAGAAGTCTGAGGTATTGGGGAAGGTTTATCTCACCTAATATTCAGTATCTTCACTGTAGATCTTTTAAGCTCCATCTGTGTTTGGTGAAAACACACAAGCACCTGGACCACAGAATTTATCTGACCTGTATTAGGACCACATTGAAATGCCTATTTCTTTTCAGTGGCCATTAAATGATTTCAATGTGGTAAGGTGAAACGTCTTGGAGTCTGCAATTCATCAAAGGAATCCCACTTCGAATTTGCAGCTCACTCAATAAATCTCTGGCTTTCAGAGCACAACAATATCTAATTCATAAATTCTCAGTCGCTTTTTACTCAGATCTCTGAAGATGAAATGGGAACCAATCCTCCTTCTGTTGAAATCAGCCACAAAACTCCTGGAAGGAGAGTCTACCTATCTCACTTAATTTTAAGTACCTGTATCTCAGCAACACACACAACCTTTTGCAGCTCACAGAGTGCACGACTCTTCACTTTGTAATGTGAGCATTTCAAATAGTGAAATGATTCATGCCCTAGAAGTTCCTTTCTTCTATTAACTAGGGAGGTTTCCATACCATAGAGTTGTGATATAGTAGAAAAGCGCGGCAACCCCTACCAACTTGCCTTACAACTTTATGCACTGAGTTGCATGCTCCCCTTTCTTGTGTTTCAGAGAAATACAGGCTGGAGCTGCATATTATTTTAGCTTCCTCCAGTCCAGGACAGTGTATCTGCATCTAACTACAACATGCATTGGGTTGTTAGTTCTTCTCATAAGAAGAATAGATGCTAAGAACCCATGGCTTCTAATATCTCCTCTGCCAATAGAAATAAACCCGAGGAGAGGGAAAAAATAGGAAATCGAAGAAAGGTAAATAAATACCACAATTTGCAACAAATTAGTCTCCAGACCCAATCCCATGAGACGCAAGATGTGATTATCTGAAGTGTTGTACTATCAGACTACATAACCTTTACTCTTTCAACCTAAACTGATAGAAAAGGGAAACAGAGGTAATTTTCTTTGAGAAACCTTACAGATTTCCTCTTCATACCTTCATCTGCAAATATTTTTGTAAAGGGAAGCTGCATTCTTCTATTGTATATTATGTTTTTTCTGTTCATTTGTCTTTTTATTAATTTTGAAATGCTACACTTTAAAAAATAGTGGTTCACCCTAACGTCTGTAGTTGCTTTTTGCTTCTTGTTTACAGTTCCTGAAAGCCGAAATTTGATTTCCATTTGTACTATTCTTTCTTTAATTTTTAATGCTATTGTTCTGTGATGTACATATAGTTGATTCAGATTAGGTCTATGTCATCAATTGTTTTTGCTAAAGTTTTTTTCTTTTACCTTCTACTGCTGAGGGGAAGAGAGCATTCATTTATCAGAAAACATGTTAAAAATGTTTTCCTTGTAATACCTGTAATGATTTTATCATTGCAAGAACTGAAACATTTCTGTTATTAAAAAAAACCTGAAAAGTCTTTTTTTTAAAGGGAAAACAAATTGCATTTAAAAACATTATTGTGCTTAGAAGAAGCTATCAAATGAAAAAAAAACGTACGGAATATAAACTGTGAAAAATTTTCCATCCTGACAGTTTGTCCTTAAATGTACCCATCACGAAGACATGCGACATTTGATGCGAACACATTTTACACATCACATTAACGTACACTTTACATCCAACCTTGGGCATTTAAAAAGTGATGCCTGCATATAAGCCACCATCATAGACGCCCTACATCATCCCTGGTAAAAGACAGGCATTCTCAGGGGTGGCACCTGCCAGATATTTGCAGTGTGTCTCCTGTGGTCCAAAAGTCGTCAGTGATAGGTTCTGCAAGGAGATGGGAATCATTTGCAGGGTTTTCCTCCCTGACCTAACACCAAGATAGTCAGCCCAGCCTGCCAGGGAGAATGTCCTCAGCATCTGAACTAAATTGTCCTCTGAATTGCTCGGTATCTCTCTGGAAGGATGCCAGGTCATCCAGAAGATCAGCAGTCACGCATGAGAAGGGTACCTTCCTCAGGAACCACCAGCACCCTGAAAAAAAGCCCACATTTCTGCTTCCCTGGGAACAGCTGAAAGGAGACAGGCAACCCAGGCCTGAAGTGTTGAGTGTGCTCCTCAGCGTGGTCCATGTGCCAGCTGCAAGGGATGGTGTCACCTGTTCCCCAGGACAGCAAACCTAACTCCACTCCTCCGAGGAGTCCCTAGACACCAGAGTCTGAAATAATCTTTATTTTCTCATTGATTTCAGCAGAAGGCACACACATTACTGTTAGTATTTCTGCGGTGTAGTTGAGGCCTGGAGGAAGGGATGTGTATGGCCATATGGATGATTCAGAAGGGTCCTGTTTTCACTACATGCAGGAGAGGGAAAGACTCTCTGGTCCCTTGATTTGGTTCTCTTTCCCAAGCCTCTGTCCCCCAGTAGTTATCCCCACCCTCCCCTTCCAGCAGCTACCCCATTCTCCATTCCAAGAACTTCTACAACAACCAGCCCACTTCTCTCCCTCACCCAAGCCTACCTCACACACACCTCAAAGGAGCAGACTCCCCCTTGGATCCCTCCCCAGTATCAGCTGCCAAATTCCTTTTTTCGCACCTTTCATGGAGATGTGTCTTCATGCCACAGGAAGGAAGGGGCAGCAGCTAGTAAGAGAAGGCTACATCCCCTCTGGAAGAGGAGAGTGAAGGTCAGCTAACTGGGGGCAGAAGGAGGGGTGAGCACCTCTAGACAGCTATCTTTTGTGCTATTTAGGTGTTGCACCAGCTCATAGCCAAGGGGTGTCTTACAACCCACAGAGCAATGCGGGATCAAGCACAAAGCAGAGCAGAGCAGGCACAACAGTGCAAACGGCTTTGGCAAGCCTTGATGGTGAGACCTGAGACATGTGGTAGACACCTTACTTTAGGCTCTACAGGTCACACTTTAAAAGCTTACCTGTTGAAAACATTGTCACCCATTCCTACCCAGGCCAGAAGAAGGCAGCACATCAAAGCAAGTGTCCATAGGCAAGAAGCTGTAGAAAAAGGACTTAGTCCGATCCAAAGCGCTGTTTAATTTGAACTAAGAGAGGTGACAAAGTCAGGTAATACAACATCACAAAATTCATATCAGGTCTGCTCCTTTGAGCAGACTCAACTGACAGAGCAGACTCAACAGACTACAACTCCTGACTGCAGAGGCAGAGAAAAACCCTTGCTTCTTCACAGTGTGACACCTGATGACCGAGGGACATTTGTCCCCCTGGAGCCAACCCGCCTATTTCAAAACTTGCACAGCCACTTTGTTAAAAGTCCTTTTTCTCCATCCGCTTTATAAGTGGCACACAGCAAGTTTATCTCCTGTCTGCAGTATTTTTTTTTTGAAGCTCAGCCTTTTAAAGTATTTTCTTTCTCTGGGGTCAGAGGTGAGCCATGAGTCATCAAGGAGCTGTAAGAGCCCTGTGCAGTTCAGAGAGGCTCTGCCTGTCAGCAGGAGAAAGAAATAGGCACCTTTTTACACATACTGTGAAAGAAGGGCTCAGAAGAGCTCTGGGGTGGAAGGTGAGGGCTGGTCAAGTCCAGAAAGGATTGCTGATGCCTAGCACTCAGGAGATGAAGGCCTCATTGTCTGATCTGTCTCCCTCACTCCAGGCACACTGGACAAGCCATTTCTCTTCTTCTTGGGGTCTGGGCAGGGTTTGGGATAAGGAATTGCACAGGAAGTTAATTTTGAAGCAAACATTGGGAAAAGGGATACTGTCCCTCAGACTAATCCAGTCTGAACCAAGTCTGATTTTTCAAGAAAGACAAAACAAAATCGAATACCATTCCTCTGTGAACTCCCCACAATCTCTGCTAACAACTCATTTATACATCCCTAGCACAACAGCACTTGGACCCAGTACAAATGCACAAGGAGCCTCTCACAGATGCAAGCAACATCCCAGAGCATTGCCAGCAATGGAGTCCCTGGCAGGTGATTTTCTCCCCACCTACTGTAGGACCAACCAGAAAAGCAGAGCAGAAATGTGAAATTGCCTTACAACATAAAAGAAATCCATTCTCATCTGCTGCTGACTTCATCCCATCGTTCCCTGTGGGAAACCATATAATTTGAGACAGAACAGCACTGTCTCATGACCCTGAAGGATCAGCGCATCCTGTGCCTCCCTTCTCTGTTCTCAGGAGGTAAGTTGTTTTCACACATCCAGCTGCAAAAGATCCTGGAAAACAGCAACCGCAAACTGGCATTTGCAAAGCCACGAATCCAAAGCTGATTGGCTCTAGTAACTGTTGTATTAGTATATAAGGTATTCACTTGAGCTATAAAATGATTCTGATCGAGCACGAGATTGGGGTCCGTGAAGTCATTCACCAGTTCCCCTCTGTGCAGTGAAAATGCTCCTTCCTGACAGCACCTGCTTCAGTACATCACAGAAGACACAAACTGAATCTGCAGACTGAAACATCTTCCCCATCCTTTCCACAGCAAGTGTTTCCCAGAGGATCCAATGGAATATATCAGAAACCAAGAGAAAGACACTCTAGAGCTGATGCCAGATCCCAGCTTCTCGGAGAGCAGAATTCAGCTGCAGAAGGCAGAAGGTAAGCGTTTTGAGAACTGGGTTCAGAAATGCCTCAGCATCCACATGTTCTGCAGTGTCCTTTCTCTCCACTGTGCCATTTTCCAGTCCTTTCTCACAGACATACATGCACACACAGTCACTAGGTAGTCACACCCTCCCCATCTCCTACTGCTCTGTCTGTAAGCAGCAATGTTTTCCTCTGCTTCTTTTTCTTTACTCTGTTGAATAGTCTCATTCTTTTTTCTTCTGCATGGATGCCACAGTTACTGGATCTCCATCTCTCCAAATTTCTGCATGAATTTGCTCTCTCCTCAACATTTTGCATCTTGCTAGCTGTTATCTACATAGATAGTAACCATGCCTGTCCCTTTAAAGCTATCATCTGTCCAAAGCCACAAAGCTGCTATGTCCTCTTAAATTTCTCCCTTTCCTTGCACAATCACCTTTTGAAATGGAGAGA